AAGGATTGGCAGATGTTAGCACAGGGCTGATCTCACACACACAAAAAATCTACAAATTTTTACTAAGCATGAGGTTTTGGAAAACGCATACAATATGGACCTTATCTCCTAGGAAATTACCACCTGCAGGGGAAAATCAAGACGTGTATATTCTCGAAAGATCTCCTCTCATCACCTTGTTTTATTTCCTCTTTAGACCGCTTTATGTTATTTGCTAACTTGCTTGCTGACTTTTCTTTCCCTATAAGGTAAGCCCCCTTCAGGGCAGGGATCTTTGTCTCTTTTGCTGCATGCTCAGCGCCTACAACTGCGCCTGGCACACTGCAAACAGCTTAATAAGAATTCATTGAATGAAATGGAGAATCACGTCATAGGGTAAAATCATCTTAACTCTCTGGCCTTGAATTTCTCTGGGCCGGCCAAGATCTCCAACTGTCCGACACTAGAGGGCAGGCCGAGATTAGAAGTGGAACAATTTTTCCCTTTCGGTCAGTGGTTCTCAACCTTTGCTTACGTTAGCATCACCTGGGACGCCTTCAGACATCCTGAAGACCAGGCCGCACCCCTGACTAACTAAATCAGAATCTCCAGAGGGTGGGGCCCATGCATCAGTATTTTGGAAAGCTGCGCAGAAGATTCCAACTTGCAGCTAAGGGCAAGACCACAGACCGGGAGCCGAGGCGTGGCGGTCAAGGTCGCGCGGCCTTCAGCGAAGAGGGATGACGAGTCAAGCTCTAAATACCCGGCCGCACTTGGCCTCCACGTCACACCCAGTCAGTGCGGCGCGGGGCGCTTAATCAACAACGGCGGGGATAGGCCGGTCCTCCAGTTAGCCCCACAGCCCGCGCTGCTGATTGAGTGGGAAGCACCACAGAGACGGACTGCAGCTTCCCGCCAATGAGCGGGGCTGCAGGCTCGCGGTCCCGCCCCCGGGCAGCGCGGCCCCGCCCCTGGGCGGCGCGGAGGCCCCTAGCCTCCCGGCGGTTTCTCCGCGAGGGTGCGGTCGTGGGGAGGGAGGTCTAGTCCCGCGCGCTGGCGGTCGCGCTCGCTCTCGCACTCCCACTCGCACTTTCCATTGCCTCAACCTCTCTGTGCTGAGCGGAGCACGGGGCCCTGGTCTCTTGTCGCGTGCGGGGCAGCAGAGCGTGATGAGGCAGGCGGCGCTGCGGTAGGTAGCCGGCGGCCTGGCGGGGCGCGGGCCGAGGGCCGCCCATGCCCGCCCTCTGCGCTGCTAGCGGGCCCGGGCGGAAGGAGTGGGCCGCCGTCGCGGGGGACTGTTGCCGTGGGCATCTGGGCAGAATGTGGGCCCCGGTGGGAAAGGGCGCCCGCCTACTGCGACCCCGCCCGGACGGAGCCCGCCGGCCTAGGGTGGGGCACCGCATCCCCCTCCCTAGCGTCTGCTGGCACGGAGCTAGCTATAGCAGCAGCTATAGCAGCGAAGCGGCACTCGAAGGGAGGAAGTTGGCTGTTCCCTGAAATTCCTTTTTCTTTGCTCCTCAAGGGTGTGGTTTTGGGGTAGCCCCTTGTCAGAAAACTAGTGTTTAGAGTGCCACAATACTTTTCCAGCCCTTTCCCCTCATTTGGAGAGGATTTTGGGTTAACTGCTTGACCTACTTGGACTCTGACTTAAGTGTTTTGTAACGTGGGCAGAGATTGCAGGGTGCCTCTTGGGCTCTCAGGACCTCAGGACTGTGTGACTAGGGCCCCTGGTGCTGATTGGAACTTGACCTTCAATGAGCAGCAAGGCCCTGTAAGGCGAGGTGGAGCAGGGGCTTTCATGGGACCACTTGGACAAAGAGGCTGCCTTTTTGTATATGTCATCATCCCCGTTTGTCCAGTTAAGGCCTCGGCCTTAGGGTCCAGGGCGTGCCTGACTCTCCCCAACCCCGCTTCATTGGAGCACTCCAGCTGTTCTAAGTTCCTTCTGCCTGGCTGGGTCCCAGCCGGCTCACCCGTGTTCCACCTCCTGGAGTCACCCCGCTACAGGTGCGCCTGCACCCCCACCCCCCCGTGTGGCCCGCAGTAATGTAATTCTGCCTGACCCGGATCCCATCAGTTCTCTTGGGGATCCTGAGCCTCTCTCACTGTCCCAGCGGACTTGGCTGTTAGTTGAAAAGGGTTCTCTTTCTCTTGTTTATAGCGCTTAACAAATAAAAGCTTCCTTACAGTATTTGAAGACAGGTTGAAAGTCGTTATGAGAAGGGCCACAGTTGGCTTGAGCTTTCATTGGAAGTGATGCGAAAGGCCTTCTACAAGCTCCGTGGTCTTGCCCATGTGCCTTCTTCCAGGAAACCTTGATCTCCTCTTCCCTGTTTGGAAGTCCTCTTTGCACTGAACTCCCATATGCCTGCGTTCCTTTCTTGTGAGTCCTATTGAACCTTAAGCAGGTACTCCGTCAGTGTCTAGTGAGAGAGAGTTCATAAATGGATACAGACTGTCTGAGATGACTAGGTTATTTGACTGGTGGGCAATCTTTATAGCTTCTTTTTTTTTCCTCCCCGGACTCACAAAAGAGTCACCTGAATTTGTTTAGTCTCTAAATTGAGGCATTTCTCCAGAGTGTAGGGCATATGACTTGCATTGCCTGTTATTGCACTGAAACCTTCCTGGACACTCACCCTAAGCTTGGGTCCCAGGACAGAGCCAAGACACTTGTGTTCCCACGTTCAGGTGACTTCTGTGACTCCCTAGGCAAGCCGTGGAGAGGTTGTGCTCCTTGGTCTCCTTTAATTGGAAAGGTTCAATCATGGAATCATCAGAGGATAAGTCAGTAACCCTGAGGTACTGAGGTGTTGGGTAGTGATTAAACCATTATCCCACCTCCTCCACCTCAGTGCTGCATTAAAGGGAAGAAGCCTGAGGTTATGAAAAGAGCAGCTTGCCTGCACATGCGTGTGTGTGTGTGTGTGTGTATGGTATGTATGGGGAGGGGATCAGTAGAACCGGGCTCTATCCAGTGTGCCAGTTGACTGGCACTGGGGAAAAGTCACCTAATTTCTTTGGGCCTCAGTTTCTTCAGGAGGTTGGTCTGAATCAGAATTTCTTTAATATAGGGGCCCATGGTGATGTCAAAATGGCATGGTCTGTGAACTTCTGAAATAGTATATACCATTTTGTGTCAGTGAAAATGTATTTCCCCCTTGGCATGAGGGTCCACAGTTTTCATCAGATTATCAGTAGATAGGATACCAAATTGTAGTGAAGAGTTACCATAAGCTGAATGTTCACAGTATGATAGAAACTTATTATACTGATACATGATAAGTATAATCAGCAATTTTTTTTGTGTGTGTGAGGAAGATCAGCCCTGAGCTAATGTCCGTGCTAATCCTCCTCTTTTTGCTGAGGAAGACTGGCTCTGAGCTAACATCTGTTGCCAATCCTCCTCCCTTTTTTTTTTCCCCTTTTCTCCCCTAAGCCCCACTAGTTAGTTGCATGTCATAGCTGCGCATCCTTCTAGTTGCTGTATGTGGGACGCGGCCTCAGCATGGCCAGAGAAGCGGTGCGTCGGTGCGCGCCTGGGATCCGAACCCGGGCCGCCAGCAGCGGAGCGTGCGCACCTAACCGCTAAGCCACGGGGCCGGCCCAACAATTTTTTTTAAAAATGTGCAAATTACGCCTTTGTTGTGCTACAGGGATATTTTCCAAATTTCTTAAGGCAGCATGCAAAGAACAGGGCTGCAGGACCACAGTTTTCCAAATAAATTGACCCAAATGTTTCTCTCTAGTACTCATTAACTCCTTCCTTTCCTATCTCCATTTGATTCTCCATTCAGAAGTGGTCCATCATGGAGCCTGGCTTCTGCTTTCTAAGTTTCTGGTCCTTACTGTTTGACCTTTAGGGGAGACTTTGGAGAAGCATGACTTTCTGGAATAATAATAGCTAAAGTTTTTTGAGGACTTGCCAGTGTACTAGGCACACTTCTAAGGGTTTAACGTTTGTTAACTTCTTTATCCTTATGACAATTCTATAATTCTCCCCATTTTACAGATGAGAAAACAGGCTCAGAGAGGTTAGGTAACTTGCCCAAGGTCACTGAGCTAACAAGCAGCATGGTCAGGCTCTTAACCTCTGTACTGTACTGCCTCTCACACAGGCAGGATGGAATGGTTTTATCACTCTTCGGAAAGTGCTGCTTCTTAGGGTAATAACAAAATACTTGTTATATGTGTATTTACCCCAAATATTTGAGATTGGTTATGTAGCTCCTGTTAGTTTGTGAGGAGTATTCAAAATATTTAGCCACTCAGAGTTAGATCCCATTTCTTACATTGGGTAGATCTACTGCATCTATTATAATTGCTAAGTAATGTATTGAGGGCATGATTTTTTTGCTCTTTCAGCTCATAGTAGCAATGGAAGATACTCACTTTTTCCAGTGTGCTTTTTAAAACCTGATATGGTCAGTTGCAGAATGCTAGTTTCTGAGATGGCAGAATGAAGGACTACATACTCTGTTTCCTTCAGTAAGGGATTTGAACCTACAGAAAATACTTCAAATGAAATAGGGAAAACAAATTCAAATCACATTCTGAGAAAATGCAAATTAGAAGGTCAAGAACAAGAAGACTGAAATATCTGCATATAAAAATACAGAAATGGAAAATTTATTGTGAAAAAATAAATCCAAAATATGTAAGATAGAGGCTTGTTAGCTATGTGATTGAAGAATAAACACAAAACCCAAAACCCCAACGGTCCAGCAAGCATTCTGGTCTTAGTGGACCAGCAGGGACTGCATCATAGCCAGTGTGATGACTGGATGGCTAAGGAGCTACATTGACCGGTGAGCGTGTGCTTGTATTTGTGTGTTCTTTGTAGTTAGATTAGTTGATTGGTGAAATGACAAGGATTTGTTCTAGCAGCACAAGTGTCAAGACTACATGTAGATTTCACCAACTATTTTTACTGAGAGGCTTTTCCCGAATGTTGTACTTCAGAAGAGAAATCTATAGTAAACTTGGGCTCTAAAGAAAATTAAAAGTATACTTTTTGGCGGAGAGGTTAGTCATCACTTGTCCCAGCGTTATCTAGTAAGAATTTACTGGTAGCTTGAGCTAGAATGAGTAATAGTGTTTGGGGTTCCTGCGCTCTTCATTCTTCAACTGTGCTCTCAACAGGTCCATTTGTCCCTGATACTATATGTGTGTTATCCCCACTAGGATGGTGTGTGGTTAGGAGTCAACACTTAAGCAATAGTGAACCAAAATCAACTTCAACAGCTTATTTTGGGAGAATAGATTAGGCACATTTGGGTAAATAGCTTTTATTTTATTCCATTAGGGAGTAGGAAATTTCTCCCTAAGTCCAATAAGTACTCTCTTTGAGTCTAGAAAGGGTTAATTCTATTTTCAAAGTTGATTAACTTATAATTGGGTTTAGCTTATTTATTGAGGGAATATGGTGTGATAACAAAGAACAAAGTAAATGTTCATAATTAATTTACTCAGCTGTTTTCCAAATCGATTCTAGGCTTCTGAAGCTAATAAAATAAAAAGAGCAAGAATAAATCCATTAATCCTGGTTTATATATTTTATTGATTTTGTAGATAGTTACCTAATTCTGCTCTTAAGAAATGATTACTGTAGCTAGATGATTTATGGAGTAGCCTCATATACAAATATACATACACTTGAGAAACAGGTTCAGACTCCTACAAGACAATATGTACTAAGGATGGGGGACAGCCAGGTGCTCTGGGAGGGGGGACAGCCAGGTGCTCTGAGAGGAGGCACAGGTCTTTGGGGTTGCTGAGGAAGAAGCCATGAACCTACGCTAAGTGTGTTTTATTTTGTTTTGTAGGCTTTGTACCTTGAGCAAGGGGCTCCTTACTCCTGGCAGAGGACTGACTCAAGGATCCCAGAATTCCGAGAAACAGAGAGTCTTCCACATTCGTGAAGGCAAGCATGGGTGTTGACCTTTTAGACCTAGGTGGTGAAATACCCTGTTTTATTTGGGAGGCGTATAGATAGATAGTGTAGGGCACATGAGGCATACTCAAGGTAGGTCTTGCATAAACTTCTCATTTACAAAATGACCAGGACAGCTTTGGGTAAAAGTCACATTCAGAATTTGAGCTTTGGTGCCTGGGAGTCTTGGGGACGGAGCTCTTTTAATTAAATGATTTCCTGGGTGTAGGTACTAAAGGGGAAGACATGGAAAAAAGAGACCTAATGCATAAATGAGAGATGGGCCCTTCAGTTGTACCAACTAAATGCTCCTAGTCTGTAGTTTTGTTAGAGGGACCCTGTTAATCTATGCCTAATTGAAGTTAATTTCAATTACTAATCTGATATGCAAACTATGGATGTCTTTATCAATTTAGGAGTATTCATTATAATTAAAATTGTGGCTTCTTTAAAGGGTCCAAATAAATATATATGTGTGTATATATATATATAATTTAAAATCCTACTTTCCTTCCTGGCCCTCAGCACCTGCATGTCTTCTTTTTTTTTTTTTTTTTTAAAGGTTTTTTTTTTTTTTTTTTTCCCCCAAAGCCCCAGTACATAGCTGTCTGTCATAGCTGCACATCCTTCCAGTTGCTGTATGTGGGATGCGGCCTCAGCATGGCTGGAGGA